CTAGTATTCTAAGGCCTCTGTTCCCTAAGTACAGGGCATCTCCTCCATTGGCAGGAACATGGCTCCTCCCTCATTAGAAGGGGATCTGAGAGCTGAGGATCCTGAGAGACAAGCCACATACTCAGCTAAGATGTTTAAAATATTTGTAATTTGTGTGTGTGTGTGTGTGTGTGCATGTGTGTGTATGCGTGTGTGTATGCATGTGGAGCTCAAAGGACTACTTGCAGGAGTCAATTCTCTTTTTTCCACCATGTGGGTCCTGGGGATCAAACTCAGCTCATCAGACTTGGCTGCAAGCACCTCTACTTTCTGAGCCATCTCACTGGCCCTCACTGAGACTTTTTTAATGTAGGAGAAAGGAGCAGGCTTTGTGGAGCACTACAGTGACAGCCTCAAAGAGACATAGGAAAAGATGGTTACTTCCTTCTCATGTATCAAGCTGGGATGTCTGGAATTGGGCATCCATCTTGTGATCATGAGGAGAGTATACAGTGGATAAGGTAGATGCTCTGAGGCTGGCAGATAGATACCAGAACTCAGGTCCTTGATATTACTTATGCATCTAAGCTGACTGCCCTGCAGCATCCTTCCTACTGGACTTTGTGCTTTGTGTGTGTGTGTGTGTGTGTGTGTGTGTGTGTGTGTGTGTCTTTCCTGGTAGTTTAAGTAAAAAGAATTGGAGTTTTTTGTTACCTGTAGCTCCAAGGCTCCAAATTTCACCTGAAGTTGGGCCAGGGCAGAGACTGTATGGGCAGTGGTGTGTGGTCCCTGATGGTCTGGAAAGCTTGGCCAACAGACTGGGATCAAGTCAGCTGAACCCTTGGTGTCACCTCCTAAGTGGTTCTGCCTCTGAGGACCAAGGGTTCATGTCCTTGGTATGTCCTGGAATGCCACCTCACCCACACTGTGGTGTCCAGGCCAGTAGATGCCATCCATTTTACAGGAAGGAAAGGAAGGCTTGGAAAGGTGGTGTACTGGGGCCACACCCAGACATGTTCAAGGTGGAGGGGGCTCAGCCCTTCATTCCCAGTCCTGTGTTCTCACTGAGCCTTTCTTCACAAGTAAGATTTTTATTCTGTAAGAATGAATATTGTATTAATTAGGACCCTCTTGGTTACTAGGCACAGCAACCCAACTCACATTGGTGCAAACAACAGCAGAGAGATTTATTGACTTTTATAACTAAAAGATAGAGGTTTAGATGTGCCATCAAACACAGCTGGATCCAGGTCCACAGCAACCAGACTGTTCCTCTTAACTCTTGTCTTCTGAGGGGGATGGCTTTCTCAGGCTTTCTGTTCCCACTGGGGGCAGGGTAGCTACTTAGCTCCTGCTTGACCCAGGGCTAGTTTCCTAGAGGTTTCTCATGGTCCTTTCCCAACCCAAGCTGACCACTGTAGGGGTAGAGGGCAACATGAAGCAGAACATTGATGTTCTTGAATTGATGTTGCTTGATCCGTTACATTCAAACCTCAAAAATCACCATTGTGTGGTTTCAAGGGCAGAGGGTCCTGCAAAAAGGATCAGGGTTCAGTTACCAAGTCTGGAGTGGGATGCTGAGTAGACAAGCACAGCCTGTGTTGAGTCAGAGCCACAGGAAGGGTGAAACAGGAGAGTGACCCATGCTGGTCTTGAGATGGTGCCTTTGGTGGTTGAATGGAGCAGAGGCCTAAGGCCCAAGGTACAGGTGCTGGGGATGGATGTCAGGAGTCCAGGATGGTGATGTGGTTGGGCTGCTGGTGATGGGGCTGATGTGGATGGTGACACAGTGCCAGAGCCACATAGTTGGGAACCAGGATGGGACCAGCAGATTCTTGAGGAAGAGCGAGGGTTTGGGCCTGTACAAATAAGCGAGGGTGGCTGGAGGTGGTCCAGGCTGCGGAAGGTGCAGGGGTCAGCTTTGGGTGTGCTGAGTGTGAGGCACTCCAGGACACCCTAGAGGGGACCTGGGGCACTTCTTTAGGGCATAGGATTCCCCTCTTGGGTGTCCTTGTTGGTTTCTATGAAGTTTAAGGGACAATGAATTGAGCAATGCCTGCTCTGCCCAGTTGAATGCACTAGAAGTAAGAGAGGCCTGTTCCCCAGAGAGCTGGTACAACCCAGATTACTGAGTTCTTCTCAGGAAACAGGTCCCTGACCCATGCCGTCACCCTCTGAAGAGGCAGAGGCTTTGAAATCCTGGCTAGCTTGGTGTTCAGAGCAGGAAGCAGAGTGCACCATGTCCAGTAGATGTTGATCAGAAACTCCCAGGTCTCCAGCCTCAGAGAACTGACAGTGGAGTTGTGTGAGAAGGAGGAGACAGAGACACAGGAGATGGAGAGAGAGCAAGAAGGCAGGACTAGAAGTCCAGGCAAAGGCCATGGGAGTTTGGAGAAGGTCACCAAGAGGGGCTGGAGTAATTTTGCTGGGCTTCCTGGAGGCATCAGTGAGAGGCAGCTTTAACATTCCAGGCCAAAAGGACACCATGCCCTCCGGTATGGGCTGCAAGAATGGGGAGCCCACCTCTCCTGACTCCTAGGCGGTTTTGTCTGACAACTTTTTAAACTAGACCAGGCTTCCCAGCACCTTTGAGCTGCCCAGACATTCAAATGATGGTCTGAGGTCCCCATTTCCCTCCCAGACCACCTTAGGAGGACATCACCTCCCTCTCCCCATCTGTCCCTACAGAGAGTTCTTTCCACGTGGAGAGTTCTTTCCACGTGCCCCCTCCTGTCCCTTTCCCCAAGGCCAAGTAAATGTTGCCTCTTCCCAGGACGCTTCCCAAGGGTGAATGGGGACCAACCTAAACCTCCCCCAGGGGGCGTGGCTGTCAGGAGGGCGTGGCCTGACACTGTGCTTGGGGGCTCCATAGGACTTAATAGTCCTAGGGAAGAGGGATGTGACAGGATCATCGTCCAGCTTCAGTAGACCTGGACTGGCCCCACAGCTGCCAGAGCCTAGCTCGGAGCAAGCGGGAGAGTCAGCTTCCATCCATTAGGCCGGTAGCCCAGGCTGCTCACACCGCACTGCCACTGCGAGCTCAGGCTCGGATCCTCTTAGGCGTCGTTAATATTTTACACCACACAGCCAGGAGATCGATGACTCATTTATAGCTCTGTGTTTATGAGCAGTCATTGAAGCTTCCACTGGCAACAACCTGCAGATGCTCAGGAGCACAAGGGGAAACTGAGGCAGGGGAGCAGAGGTGGGTGTCAGCTCAGGAGGCCCTTGGAGATCGCTTCCTTTGTATGCTCGGTTCTCTGCTTCGCTTATCAGTGCTGTTACCCTGTACAGCTGTGCACAGCTGGTGCTGAGGGTATATCAGAGCCCACCTACCTGCTACTCCTTGTCTTGCTGGATGTTTTACGACCCCCTACAGAGTCTGAGTATTATACCCATTTTATGGATGAGTAAACTGAGGCTTACAGAGGTTATGACTCCCAGGATGGCCAGGAAGGCATTGACTCCACATGTGGAGATATGCGGAGACAAACTGAGGCCTAGGCTAGATATTTCTTTGTGCTTAAGTATGTAATTTGAAGGTCGCTTAACCCTCTTACCGTGTGTAGTTAGTGGAGACTGCATCTTCATTAGCCGGAAAGTAAAAGTCACACTTAGGGCTTGTTCTTTAAAATGTTTTGCCCCAAAGCAGGCTTTTGACCAGACAGGTGAATAGTGAGGGTGGAAACTGTGGGGCTCCAGAATCCAGCGGGCCTGGACTGCACCTGTGCCCTCTTGAGTAATTTACTGTCTGGACCTCACTTTCCTCATCTGTAAAACAGGAGACAAGGACTGCCCACCAGAGGGGCCCTTTAAATAAACCCAAAGTCGTGGCCCAGATATACGAGCTCCAGGGGGCCCCTCAGCAGTTCCACGCTGCGGTTTCCCACCCACTGGAGTTTAGAGCTCTGCCTGAGGCTAAGTACACGCTTGGTGCCCTTTGAATGAAGGCGCCAGTGGTTAGCGAATTCCGTAAATGCAAGCCGAGATTTTCTGGGCTGGAGATACACCAGGGTTCACACTCCTAGTCTGGGAGAGGCGCTGCATTTCTAGCTCTGATAAAACAGCAGGAAGGATTTGGTACTGACCGCAGCCAGCGCTTCCCGCCTGGTCCGGCGAGGATGTCCGCGGCGGGCTGCCCGCGCTGGAGGGCAGCAGAGAGTCGCAGCTCCCCGCCAGCAGCCCGGGGAGGCTCGCCGCCACGACGATCCCCGGCTCCGCCCTGCCACTCCCGACCTCTCCTCCTCTTTTCTCCTTCCTTTCCACGACTTCCCTGGCCCTACCCAGTGCGGGACAGGAAGAAAGCCTTCCACAAACTAACACGCCCTTGCACTGCGGGTGAGCAGCACTCTGCAGCGGCTTAGCTCTTCCCGACAGCCGGAAAGGCAGATGAGTCCTCTAGGGAGAAGGATGTTAGTCGGAGATTCGACCAAGGTCATGCGTCAAAGTCAGAACTTGAACTCAGTCCCATAGGCCCTAATGCCAAAGCCTGGCTTCCTCCTAGAGCCTCCGGCGCACGCAGGTTTCCAGACCGGAGAACTCTGGATACAAACTTCTCCATCTTCAAATGAGGGCTAGATCAAGATCAAGTTTAATCTCAGGCGGGTGGGCTGAGACTTGGGGGAGACATCCCGGAGAGATCGGACTTCCCGGATCCTCCACGTGCCAGCTCTGCGCCGGGAGGGGCGGGTGGCAGGGACTGTGGCAGACTTGAACCTCTCCGACGGACTCCCTGGTGGGAGCATCGGGCACCCGGCTCCCTCCGCGGCCACTCCGAGGCTGAGTGGGTGAAACCGCAGACCGCCCTGCTTCGCCGGGGCTGGCCTGGGAGCTGAGGCGATGTGCCACGCCGATCAGGAGCTGGACCGTGCGGGGCGGGGCCGCATTCCCCCTCCCCTTCCCGGGCTGGCGCTAGGGGTGGTGGCGCGGGAGGGGGCGGGAGGTTGCCCGGGCCGCGTCCCCGAGTGGTGGCCTCGCCTAGGCCAATGAGCGCGCGGGGAGCCGTGATGGAGCCTGGGGCGGCCGGGATGCGCAGTGGACCCCTAGCCGGCGCGGCCCGGAGCCCTCGGGACAGGACAGGGGGCGACAGAGTCGCGGCGCCCGCGCTGGGCATGGAGGCGCCGCTGCCTCGCACTGGTCCCCGGAGCTGCGCCCCGCGCCGCAGCCACCGCCGCGCCTCCAAGTTTGCTGGCTGATTTGGAAAGTTGCGCCCGGGCTCCAGCATCGCCGCGGGTCGCGCTCACTGTCGCAGCCTCCGCCTGCTCGGGGTCCCCGCCGCACCAACACCAGTAGCCCCGCCTGCCCGGGGCATGTGAGCCGCCGCCCCGAGAGGCCGGGCGGGCGGCTCCGGCCTGGAGCCTCCCGAGGCAGCGCACGGCCGACGGGTGCGCCCGGGCCCCAGGCAGTCGCGCTCGCCATGGGTATCCAGGGCATGGAGCTGTGCGCCATGGCCGTCGTGGTGCTACTGTTCATCGCCGTCCTCAAGCAGTTCGGCATCCTGGAGCCCATGTCCATGGAAGGTAACGTGTGGCCGCCCCTCCGTGGCCCTTCCCGGGAGGCCAGGGGTAAGAGGGACGAAAAGCTGCACACGCGGAGCCACCGCCCCCTCCCTGCTACGGAGGGCTGGGGTTGGGACCAAGAGGGTAGAGAGGGCTGCCTCAGGCTCAACAGGACTGGACTGCGGAGCTTGGCATGGATGTGAGTGAGGGCCAGGGTGACATCTAGAGCAGGCATCTCTAGCTGTCCTGGACCTGCGAATCGGACCTGCCTGGAGCTTGGGCCGCTTGGGAGAGGCAGGTGGCACAAGGTGAAGGTTCCAGAAAAGACCCTCAACCCAAGGTGCCACTAAGTGATGAGTGACTTAAGACATTTGTCAGTGGTGGGACTGTCCCTTTCACCCTCCACCCGGTGGGTGCCCAGTTCCCTGTCCTCACAAAAAACTCCTGTCTGGGAGATCAGTAACCAAACCCGCAGCCACCACATTTCTGTCCTAATAAAATATTAACCGAGGAAACAGTACTCTTAAAGCAGTGCTGACCATCTCCCCGGGACTCCTAACAAATGCCCTTGGAATTGAATCCCAGTTTACCAGCAGGGCTCTGCCATTCCTGGGCAGGTTAGGAGGGGCTCTTCTCCAGCACATATGGTTGTTGAGCTAGGGAACTCTGACACCAGATATAGAACTTTCCCTTCTCTCTCCCCCACTTCCAGAGATGCAGGTGCAGCCCTGTCTGTCAGGACTGGGGAAGGGGCTGGCTTCCTGTAACCTCAGCTGTCTTCAGGGAGGTTGGGCATCCTGCCTGCTTCAACACTCGGCTGACCTTGCCAGGCTGGCCTAGCTCTTGGGTCTGGAACCCAGAGGTCTGGGGAGGGAGGCTGCTTCAGATCAGCCCAGCATCTCCTTAGATACAGGGATGGGTCCCAATCCGCTGAAAAGGGCTGCTGAGGGCAGGAAGGGGCACTGGGCTGAGAAGAAAGGCCCTCCCTCTACTCTGTTCCAGAGGCCAGGGCTACCCCTTTACCTGAAGTCCATGAGCACGGGCCCCACAGAAGCCACTGGGCTCCCTCACACCTCTTTTCTAGATGCTCAAATGAGGCCCAGAAAGAGGGAACTTGCTTAAGGTATTTCAAATCACCACCACCTTGAACTTCAGGCTTTAGTGGACAGGAATGTTTTCCACCCCAGGTTTTGTCTGACTGGAGAGTAATCATGGCAATGAACTTGGTGGGAAACACTTTGAGGGTGCTTGGGATTGGAGCAGGGATGGGGAAGGGTAAGCATGCATGCCCAAAAGACCCATGCCTCTTATAGGATACCTCTATCCCCTATGCCTTCCTGTGCTTCCTCCATTAGGAACCTGGGATGTGTCGGGGGTGTGGTACCCATGATCATTCCATTGCACTTCCCTGTTTTCCAGACTCTTCCCAGAGGCCCTCCTCCCACCAGGGCCCAGGAGCACCAGTCTACCTCCTTTGATAGAGTATTGCAAAGCCCTCCCAGCTGAGTGACTCCCAACAAGGTCTGGGATAGTCCGAAGTTTGCCTTTGTGATTAATAAGGAAGAGTTTCTTTACAAGGATAGCATGCCTAAGACAGGGGTCCCCATTTTCCAGTATATTTGCCTACTTGTCCCGCATGGAGTTCTGGTCTTGATGCAGGTGGGGGAGAAAACAGCCTGAGCCAGGATCCTGTCATCCTCACAAACTATAAAACCCCATAACCACAAAAAGCCTTCACTGCACCGTCTGTAAAGTGGGGCTGCTGATGTAACCCCTGTGCCCCAGTGCCCTGATGGGCTTTAACACTCAGAAGGGGCTTTAATGCCCCCTGCTCCCTGGGAACGATTGCTATCCCAAAAAACCAGCAAGGCATGATTACTGGTACTAACAAGTGACTCAGGGTTGAACACATTTCTCTTATGTAGACAGCTACCCCTCCCCCCTCCTTGGGTCAGAGCGGAGGAGTTATGAGTTCTAGATGTTCTTTGTTGATGGGGAATGGTGCCAGCTGAGAGCCTGGAAGTGCCTAGTGGCCAGCAGCATCTAAGGGACTGTCAGATGTGCTGTCAGCAGCCAGGGCCCAACCATCCAGCTGGGTGTGAGCTGTTCTCGGCACCACTGGGGGTGGAAAAGGGCACTGGTGTTCTGGGTCCTGCCATACATGTGCATGTATAGTTGTCTGGGTCCTCTCTGAGCTTCCCTGGAGTCTCATCTGTAAGAGACCAGAGGTAGGAGGCCTTAGAAATTGTTAGAACTGAAGAGCCTGGAGCTGAGGGGACAGTCCAATGGCCATGAAGGGGACCCCATCTGGGTGTTGGGACCAGGATCCAGCAGGGGCTGGTCTGAGGGGTTAAGTGTTCTGAGTGGTGCCTGGCACGTGGAATCTGGGTGTGGCACGTTCATCAAACTCCTGAGGTTAAGGCGACATTGCAGGGTTGGTGGTTTTCCCTCGTGTGCTGACCCATAGTTCTGCAGGGGTTCCAAGGCTCACCCCTGAGGCTTTTCTCTGAGCCTTGCTTCAGGCTCTGGTGGAGGATGCTGGGCAGTTGCTGTGTCTCTGACACCTCTGAGGTGCTGATGATGCAATGGTCTTCATCATGTGTGACTTCCCGACCTCAGCTCCATACACATGGGTTTCCTTACAGCCCCATGCTCACCATAAGGTACTGGATATCTGAGTTCTTCGATCATTTTCAATTTGTCTCTACCATATGCCAGCCACATGGGGGCAGGGGCTACATCCTGCTCATTGTAATTCCAGTGCCTGGAACTGTGCCTGGTACCAGGCAACAGCTTGACAAGGATTTGTTGAATCTGTGAGGGAATCTTGCCAATGAGGGAGAGCTAGAACCTTCTCCTGTCCTATCCCCAGCCCCTGCTGACCATAGAGCCCGAGACTGGATCCTGAGAGAGATGCTAATTAGATGGGCACAGAGGGACCTCTAAGTGGTAGGGGTGGAGTCTGCTTCTGAGAGTGCAGAGGCTGGGAGGTGGGATGTGTTCAGTGTTGATGCAAGGCTGGAAGAGCGTGGGTAGCCAGCAAGAGACATGGTGAGGGAGGCCTGCACAGGTCATGTAGGGTATTGGTTGGTGGTTTGGAGGGTAGAAGGTATTAAGACAGGGTCTCACTATGTAGCCCAGGCTAGCCATAAAATTGTGAACTTCCTGTCTCAGCTTCCTAAGTACTGGGATTGCAGATGTGTACTATCTATTTATCATGTGTAGCTGGGTGATTGGTTCTCAATGAAGCTGTTCATTGTAATCATCTGGAGGACTTTAAAAGCATACCTTGTGCCCACCCTGGGCGATCGAATGCCTGCTGACTCTAGGTATGATCCCCTGTAGGAACATTGCCTTTTATTCTCAGACAAGTCTGGCATCTCTGTGTGGAACTCAGATATGGGACTTTCACAAGTTTCTCCCAACACTTGAGGGCAGGCAGGGATGAGCACACACGTTCAAGGTCTTAAAGACAGGGAGATAGGGCAGGGGTGGGTGTCCTAGCTACTCGGGAAGCTGAGGCTGGAGCATTGAGGACTGCCTGCCTATGATAAAGTGAGTTCAGTGCTAGCCTGGGCAACTTAATGAGACCCTGTCTTGAAATAAAAACTGAAAAAAGGATTGGGAGCACAGCTCAGTGGCAGAGCACTTGCCTAGTATGTATGAGGCCCTGCATTCAGTCCCCAGACAGACAGTCAGACACATGTACACAGCATCTTCAAGTCTTAGGTCAATATAGGGTCTGGGTTTAGGGTCCAACATTTTTTTCTCTTATCCAGTTCCAGGGACCACTGTGACATGCCCAAGTTTGAAAGCACAGCCCTGGCTAGGTGTGGGCTTCTGAAGGCACATTGGCATTTATTAACAGAGATATCCAGTCATGGGCATTTCTGAGGAGTAAGGATGCCCAGCAGTTTAGCAAGAGCCCTGACTTCCCTGCTATGAGCAGACAGAGAGAGGACCAGTGCCCCAGGGGCAGCACTGGGTCCTATTGGAGTCATTTGTGTCCATCCTGGAGGGCTGGCAGTGGGCTGGGAGAAGTGGGCAGGTTCTAGCTGCATCCAGGGCAGGGCTCCTAGGGCTTGCCATGGAGTGTGAGAGGAGATGGTCAAAGAGGAGTGGAAGGTGGAGCCGCCATTTGAGGGAAGGGGAATACACGGAGGCGGTGGCTGCGTGTTTGTGGGGATGCTTATAATTTTGATTGGACCTGGCAAGTTTGGAAAGAATCATTGTCTGTTACAAATGTAATACCTGAAACCATCACAAAGTCCTGTAGACAAGAAGCCTGCATAGATCTCTCTGCACTAAGACAAAGCAGGTGGACCAGGTCTTGCCTCCTGGAGGCTCTTGGGAATAACCCATCCCTTGCCTTTTCAGCTTCTCCTTGGTTCATGGCCCCTTCCTCCATCTGTAGCAAGCTCAGACCTCTCTCTGGGTCTCTCTTCCAATTCCTCCTTTGTGTTGGATAGTTTTAGTGTCAAGTTGACACACCTGGGTTGAGGGAGCCTCAATTGGGGAATTGCCTCTATTGGACTGGCCTGTGGTCGTGTCTGAGGGGCATCTTCTTGATGAGTGATGTGGGAGGACCCAGCCCACTGTGGGTGGTGCCACCCCTGGGCAGGTGGGCCTGTGTTGCATAAGAAAGCAGGCTGAGCAGGGGCCAGGGGAACAAGCCAGTATGCAGCGTTCCTCCATGGCTTGTGCTTCAGCTCCTGCCTCCAGGTTCCTGCCCTGAGTTCCTACCTTGGGCTCCCGGATGAACAGCAGTTTTAATTAACTTCATCTGCAGCCTGCATCCCCTTCTGTTGTGTGGCCAGACACATTCATGGGCTCCAGGCATGAAGACATGTAAATATTTGGGGAGTCATTATTCTGCCTAGAACAAGGGTCTAGTGGAAAAGATCCAAGTGGGTTGTCAAGGAGGCAGAAGGCCATGCCCTCCTGCTCTTCAGAGGAGCAGTTGTGGCCTGGAGAGAAGATTACCATTAGTGTTTGGTGAGACACAGCAGTGTGAGACTAGG